ACAGAAAGGGGGGGATGGAGGGATAAAAAAAAAATAAACAGAAAGGGCTAATAACCAGAGATAGGTTACACAATGCTTTATTAACGTTAATTTTTTAAATTTATCTTTATATTATTGTTATTATTATTATTTTGGTTTTTCAGAGACAGGGTTTCTCTGTAGCTTTGAAGCCTGTCCTGGAACTCACTCTGTAGACCAGGCTGGACTTGAATTCACAGAGATCTGCCTGTCTCTGCCTCCCAAGTACTGGGGTTAAAGGCATGTGCCACTACCGCCCAGCAATTTTAATCTTTTTAAAAGCAATGAAAAAGGAATTACAGCTGCAGAGAGACATTGGATGTGTTGACCTCAAAATAGAAACCAGGATATGTGTTACGCTGGGGAAGAGATTTGGCTTTTGCTCCCACAAAAGAAAAGCTATGGCTACCATCAAGATTAATAAAGATTAGATTGGCCGGAAGTTGGTGGCGCACGCCTTTAATCCCAGCACTCGGAAAGCAGAGGCAGGCGGATCTCTGTGAGTTCGCAGCCAGCCTGGGCTTCAGAGCGAGTGCCAGGATAGGCTCCCAAACTACACAAAGAAAACCCGTCCCCGCAAAAAAAAAAAAAAAAAAAAAAAAAAAAAAAAAAGATTAGATTCAAATAAGAGAGATGAATTTTATAGAATTTCCTGTACATGTGTAAGTAATAACTGGAGATTCAACTCCAAGCCTTATACATGATAAATATTGAAAATGAGCTTCATCCCTAGCCCTATAACATTAATTATAACTTAATAAACTGTCAAATTTAATTTAACTGCTAAAATTCTAGGACTGGTGAAATGGCTCATTGGGTAAAGATAGATGCCACCAAGCTGACAACCTGAGTTCAATCCCCAAGACTCACATGATGGAAGCAGAGAACCAACTCACAAGCTGTCCTCTGACTTCCACATGTATACTGTGGGCACACTCATAATAAATGTAATTTAAAAAGAAATTTTAATTTAAAAATTAATAATACATCAACGTTCTGTGAACAACACCTCCCTTCAATAGGGGAGGTGATATCAGAAGACATAGTGAACAAAAATTTCCAAAGAAGCTTACTGAGCGGCTGGGGAGATGGCACAGTGGGTAAGAGTGTTTGTTGCACAAGTATGAGGACCTGAGTTCAAATTCCTTCCAAGCACCCATCATAAAAAGCTGGGCATGACCAGGCCTTTAATCTCAGCAGTTCTCTGAGTTCTCTGAGTTCAAGGCCAGCCTGGTCTACAGAGTGAGTTCCAGGATAGCCAGAGCTACACAGAAAAACCCTGTCTAAAAGAGCCCTCTTCCCCAATGTGCTAGAGCAGGAAACCCAATGTCTTCCTCTGTCATCTAAGTGCATCAAACATATAAATATATTACACACACCAACAACAACAAAAGAAGCAAGATAAACTCTAAGCATAAGAAACATTATACCAAGGTATATCACTAAGATCAATGTGATGCTGCACACATGCTTTTAATCCCAGTACTTGGGAGCTAGAGGCAGGCAGATCTGTGAATGAGTCTACACAGTAAGTTTTCCAGGCCAGCCAGGGCTTCATAATGAGACCCTGTCTTAAATAAGGCAAATAAATAACACTAACAATAACAGCAACAATAATAAAAGGCTGGAAAGAGAGCTCAGTGGTTAAGAGACCTGTCTATTCTTCCAGAGGACTCAGGTGCAATTCCCAGCACACAGTTGGCAGCCCATAACTGTCTATGGTGGTAGGTCCAGGGTATCTGATGCCTTCTTCTGGATCTGGTGCCTAGTGCATTAGGCACTTATACAATGCACAGGCATGCATGAAAGCAAATACTTATACACATTAAAAAATAATTTAAGGGGGCTGGAGAGATGGCTCAGAGGTTAAGAGCACTGACTGTTCTTCCAGAGGTCCTGAGTTCAATTCCCAGCAACCATATGGTAGCTCACAACCATCTGTAATGGGATCTGGTGCCTCTTCTGTTATGTACTGTATACACGATAAATAAATAAATTTTTAAAAAAATAATTTAAAAATAGAAAATAAAGCAAAATGAAGAAAAAAATAAACAAACAAACCAAAAGAAAAGAAAACAAAATAAAACAACTGCCAGAGGTTGCACCACTGCTGCAGGATATCTGATCATACTGTGAACCCCAAGATTTTATTATTTACTGGAAAAACTTGTTTCTAGTTGTGGTATGGCTCAACCCTAGCACACATCTTTAATCCAAGAGCTTTCCAGGCATTGGTGGTATAGTGGTGAGCACAGCTACCTTCCAAGAGCTTTCTGATTATTATAAACAGAATTACATTAAGTCAATCATAGGTAAAGAGATGGAGCAAGCAACCAGTTGACAAGAAGTGAACAAGAAAAAAAACATAAAGAGTAAAAGTCAGGATGGAGAGAAAGATGCACAGAAGTAGAAGGGAAGAACACATGAGTTGGAGAAGTCTTGGTTGAGATGCAGAAGATAGGTCTTTTCTGTCTTATCAGTGAAGGAGGAAGGAAGGTCAGTTGGGTGCTTTCTCTGCTTCTCTAAGCTAGCAGGCTTTTACCCCAGCATCTGGCACCAGAATCTTTATTGGTAAAATCAAATAACTGAGATTTTGATAAAAATAAAACAGCACTTAGGAAGCTGAGGCAAGAAGACTGAGTGTTCAAGGCCAGCTAGGACTACATGGTAAGATCCTTGCCAGATTTTTTTCTTAAAAAACAGTATGGACATAGCCGGACATCGTTGGTGGCACACGCCTTTAATCCCAGCACTCGGGAGGCAGAGGTAGGAGGATCTCTGTGAGTTCGAGGCCAGCCTGGTCTCCAGAGCCAATGCCAGGATAGGCTCCAAAGCTACACAGAGAAACCCTGTCTCGATAAACCAAAAATGTAATTTATTAAAATTTTTTTTTTGCTGATACTATTTCATCAGAACAGTATAGATATTGAAGGCAGTGGTGTCTGTGTATTTGAAGTACTAGAAGAAAACAGCATCAACCTAGGATTTTATACCCAGCAAACACACCTGTAATCCCATCACTACTATATCATGAGAGGAGGCAAAACACGGAGAATCTCCAAAAAGTTCATAAGCCCGATGTCCTAGAGTACACAGTGCAGGGGCAAACAATGAGATTTTTCCAAGATCAAAGGAAAGGGCTGGCACACAAGTACTGTCAAAACTCTCTCTCTCTCTCTCCTTTTTTTTTTTTTTTTTTTTTTTTTTGGTTTTTCCAGACAGGGTTTCTCTGTGTAGCTTTGGAGTCTATCCTGGCACTCGCTCTGTAGACCAGGCTGGCCTGGAACTCACAGAGATCCGCCTGCCTCTGCCTCCCAAGTGCTGGGATTAAAGGCGTGCGCCACCAACACCCCGCCTCTCTCTCTCTCCTATAAAAGACAGAAAAGCAAATTTAAAAAACTGTTGTTTTTTTTGGAACAAAGATCTTACTGGGTAACCCTGGATGGCCTAGAACTCACTGTGTAGAGTAAACTGGCCTAAACCAGGTACTTTTGCTTCCTAAATCACCATGCTTGGTGGTGAAATAAAGGCTTTCTAGACACACACACACACACAGCTTTAAAAAGGTAGCAAAAAGACACAGACACACACACACACACAGCTTTAAAAAGGTAGCAAAAAGACACAGACACACACACACACACACACACACACACACACACACACAGCTTTAAAAAGGTAGCAAAAGGACACAGAAACACAAATACACAGTTACAGAAAATCTTCAAGGTAGAAACAGAACACAGAGCCCTCAAACACAATGATGAGCAGGTAACAGAAATGGCAACACAGCTTAATGAACAGAAGATGTGAGGGGCTGGACCCAGGAGATTACATTATATTTCCTAGAGTACTGGCTAGTTGTACCTCAACTTGACACAAACTAAAGTAATCTGGGAGGAGGGAACCTCAGTTAAGAAAATGTTTCTATCTGGGCAGCGGTGGCACATGCCTTTAATCCCAACACTTGAGAGACAGAGGCAGGCAGATCTCTGAGTTCAAGGCCAGCCTGGTCTACAGAGTGAGTTCCAGGACAGCAGGGCTACATAGAGAAATCCCATCCCCAAAAAAGAAACAAAAACAAAAAAGAGAGAAGAAAACAACAACAAAATGTCTCTGTAAGATTGGTTTGTAGGCAGGCCTGTACAGCACTTTCTTAATTAGTGATTGATGGGGGAGGGCCCCACCCACGTGGGTAGTGTCATTCCTAAACTTGTGGTGACACACACCCTTAATCCCAGCACTCCTAGCACTTGGGAGGCAGAGACAGGTGGATCTCTTGTGAATTCGAGGCCAGCCTGGTCTACAGAGCGAGTTCCAGGACAGGATCCAAAGCTACAGAGAAACCCTGTCTCGAAAAACCAAAAACAAACCATAAGGAGCAAGACAGTAAGCAACCCTCCTTGGCCTTGGCATCAGCTCCTGCCTTGTTTGCATTACTGTCCCTGACTTCTTTTGATGGTGAACAGTGATATGGAAGTGTAAACTAAATAAAACCTCTCCTCCTCAAGTTATTTTGGTCATATGTTTCATCACATATGGAGCAAAGTCACAATGAGCCTGTTTCTTCTGCCACTGTGGGAACTCTCCAGTGCCACCCTATATCTTATGTTAGACCTCAACACACAAAAATCAACTGAAGGAGAGGGAGAGATGGCTCAGTGGTTAAGAGCACGGGCTACTCTTTTAGAGGATCTGGGTTCAATTCCAAGCACCTACACAGCAGTTTATAACCATAATTCCAGCTCCTCTTTTGGAGCACAGATATGCATGCAGTCAAACATCCATATACATAAAATAAAATGAAAAAAATTCATATTTACTTATCACTCATTCAAGACAGATTCCTGCCATGTAGCCTACCCAGGCTGTCCTTAAACCTGCAATCCCTCTGCCTTAGCTTCCTGAGCGCTGGTACAGGTACGTAACACCAAAGTCTAACTGACTCTGTATTCAGAACATAACACGGAGCAACAGCTTACCTGGATCCACTGTTCCCGATTAATCTCCACACCATTGGCCCGTAGGGAGGTGATGGCTCGGTCAATGATCTTCTCCACCATCTGAGTGTTCCCATTGGCCTCCTCAAGCTTGGCAGCGGTGATCCAGATGTGCCGGTCTGTGGGAATGTTCTCACGAGCTTTATTTAAGACCTTTCGAGCATTTTCATAAGTTTCCAGCCTTGCCAAAGCAAGCCAAAGCTACATAAAAATACATTTTTAAAAAAAGGGAAAAATACATTGAATGATGGTGGAACCAAGTGGTATCTTTCAGGATGGATGGCAAGCCAGTCTCACTGGCCTACAGTCCTTCTACAAAGGGCTTTCTGGAAGCTCTCAAGCTTAAACAGAGCCTATAAGCATTCACAGCAGCCCCCTTTCACTACACCAGCTGTTTAGCAATGCTTCTGACACAAAAGGTTGGCAGGACTCAGAGGTTCTAAGCATTGTTTAAATGTGCAGTGTGCCATACTTGACGGCAGGTGCTAGGGTAAAACGTGAGCCGGATAGGTTCACAGACAGTTGTGTGACTATGCTTAACCCTCTGGAATTCTCATACCCTAAAACTACTGACTGCAAGATTCTACCCTTAAATGTACAGACTATTTTAGTTTGAGTGTGAATGTGTGCAGATGCCTGAGTACAGTTCCCAACACAGTTTTCTATAGCTATCAGGGATGAGCAAAAGAGACTCAGTTTTGTTCATCTACACATATACACAGTGTACCACATGTACTGTGCACCACTTCAATTACACACCCACCACATGCAATGCACTTTTTGTTTGTTTGTTTTTGTTTTTTGTTTTTGCAGACAGGGTTTCTCTGTATTGTGTTTTTTTTTTTTTTTGGAGCCTGTCCTAGAACTGGCTCTGTAGACAAGGCTGGCCTCAAACTCACAGAGATCGGCCTGCCTCTGCCTCCCAAGTGCTGGGATTAAAGGTGTGCGCCATCAACGCCTGGCCACTGCAATGCATTTTTACCTGTATGCAGCATGACTAACTGAAGGCACCTGTAGCCATCTGTTACGGTACTTGATAACACTGTAGAACACCATTCTGGGTTCCACAATGCCCTCTAATGCAGGATATTAACTTATGTAAGCAGCATACATACAGGAGTCTCAGGCATTAGACTGGCTTAAGCCTTCTATGATGGGGTATTGGGCCTGAGCCCAGCAGACTCACCTCCACACTGGTGGGACAGCACTCTACCGCTCGGCTCAACATGATTCTAGCATCTTCAGGCTCTTCAAGCTCAACAGCTGCTTTCCACAATCGAACAGAGTTTGGGACATGCTCAAGGGCTGGAAAAGGTCAATCAACAAGAGATTCATGTCAGGAGGACACTGCCAGTTGGATAAGACAGCCCCCAATAGTGATAATCAAGGACTACAAACATGCCCATTGTATGGGTCCTTTGATTTTGGGGTAGACATAAAGCCAGAAAGAAACAGTCAAAGGTCGTTGAGGTTTTATCAGTAGGACCTGTCACATCAATACTGTATGGCTGCACTGAAGTTTGAGGAGAGGGTGAACAACTGCAAGAGAACAGGCCACATAAGGGGAATGACTTAAGTTGTCTAGGTTGAGGGCATGTTACATGAGTTACATGGGCATGTACAACCTGTATCCCTAAAATCCATGTATGATTTACTAAAATATATTTTAAATGACCCGTGTCAAAAAGACCTGATTATGTTTTCCCTTAAGAAGACCTGAAACTAGCCAGGTGGTGGTGGCACACAACTTACATGCCTTTAATCTTAGCACTCGGGAGGCAGAGGCAGGAAGATAGATATCTTTGAGTTTGAAGCCAGACTGGTCTACAGAGCCCAGGACAGGCTCCAAAGCTACACAGAGAAACCCTGTCTCAACAAACAAACAAATACCTGAAACTTTAAAAAAGAAGAAAAAGTCATAAGCAAACTGTGGAAGGGACTCCTACAAAACAATGATGGGATACTCTATAGAGTACCAGAATCTATGTACGTGTGAACATATATGCTCTACCAATAGATAACTGAAACAATGACTAATTCATTGGCCAGCAGCATGACAGGTAGTATGGACACTCCATAGAAGCAGTTCAAGTTCTTGGCAGGTTGGCAAAGGTTTCACCTTATTCCCAGAATATAATGTGACTTAAACTTGTGAATGACTTTTTTCTACAGTATGCAAGTTTTTGGTGTGTGAGCTTACTCCCTCCAGCCCCAGGACCTCATATACCGTCCAACTTGCCATATTGTGAAGGATGTCTATGTAGTGAAGGATGACTTTGAACTCCTGAGCGTCCTGTCTCTACCTTTTACAGGACAGAATATGTCCCCATACCCTGATTATTTCAATAATTTTCTATTAGTTTTCATATTGTGTTTGAATGTGGGAAACTCAAACTCAAGTGAAACTGTGGATGAAGGAGACCACTGTAAAAAACTGCAATGTAGCTCAATAAAGCACGTGCTTGGCATGTATGAAACCTTAGATTCAACACCATTATCACAACCACTACCACAGAGAGAGATAGAGAGAGAGAGAGAGAGAGAGAGAGAAGGTGGTCATGGTAGTACATAACTTTAATCCTAGCACTTGTGAGGCAGAGGGGATCTGTATGAGTTCAAGGCCAACCTGGTGTATACCATAATTACCAGGGCTATGTAGTGAGACTCTGTCTCAAAAAGCAAAAGTCAAGGACTGGAAAATGGCTCAGTGGTTATGAGTACTGGCTGCTCTTGCAGAGGATACAGATTCAGTTCCCAGTTCACAACTGTCTGTTAACGCCAGTTCTAGGGGCATCTGATGCTTTCCTCTGGCCTCTGAGTGTATTGCATGCATGTAACACACAGACATACATGCAGTAAAATGAAAGTAAATAAATAAGTAAAAATACATCTTTGGGGCAAGAAAGATGGCTTGGTGATTAAGAGTACTGGCTGCTCTCTGAGAGGACAGGGTTTTGATTCCCAGCACCCACCAGGCTGTTGACAACTTTCTCTAATTTCAGCCCCAGGGGAATCATCCTCTTCTGGCCTCTGTGGGCACCAGGTGTGCACATAATACAGAGAGACATACATGTGGGCAAGATACACACATAATTTCTTTTTAACTTTAGAAAACAAAACATGGACTAGAGAAACGGTTCAGTGGTTAAGCACACTGGCTGCTCTTCCAGAGGTCCTGAGTTCAGTTCCCAGCAACCACATGGTAACTCACAATCATCTATAATGCACTGTGGTGTCCTCTTCTGGCCTGCAGGCGTACATACAGGCAGAACACTACATAATAAATCTTAAAAACCTCACTTCATTTTAACAGAGCCTCCAGATCTAACTTCTTGTGTGTGTGGGGGGGGTCAAGATGGGGTTTCTCTGTGGCTTTGGAGGCTGTCCTGGAACTAGCTCTTGTAGACCAGGCTGGTCTCAAACTCACAGAGATCCGCCTGCCTCTGCCTCCCAAGTGCTGGGATTAAAGGTGTGCGCCACATCTAACTTCTAATTGACAAAAGAACTTAGGAAACTAGACTTCATGATTATAGTGCATGGAACCTACAGAATTAACCTACCTCCTTCAAGAATGTTAGTGATAAAATAACCAAATAACACACATATCAAGCTCTTTTAACCTTAATATACATTGACAGTGCATGCATATGCATATATGTGCATACGGTATACTGAAATGACACCTGAGAAAAACGTGAACACTACAGACTTCTAATAGTGTGGCCCCATTTATAAATAATTATTCTTGCTGGGCATTGGTGGCCCATGCCTTAAATCCCAGCACATGGGAGGGAGAGGCAGCAGGAAGGCTTTCAGAGAGTAGTAGCACAGCCTTACAGAAGAAAGCTGAGTCCTCCTGCCATATCTGCTCTCCTACCCAGGAATATGATCCCAGCAGGGAACTAGCACTGCCTAAAGCCTCATACAGCCTGACTCTCCATTTATTGATCATTACCTAAACCAGGCCTCAAGAGAAGGCAAATGCAGCAGCTTTATCAAGTTGGAAATAGCACAGAAAAGACGGAGTGGAGCAAAGGCAGGTAGTGTGGACACCAGTAAGCCACAGGCAGCAATTTCCCACAATTAGAGGCTTGCCTGCTACCCTGGGAACACATTCATGGCTCTAGAAAAGCCTTAGGACCATAAGACTAAGAAGGAAAAAGCCTTGACCTAGGATAAATTCACTTGAGTCAACTGATAACCAGAAAATAAAGATTATTTCCCAAGCTCTTAAGAGCACCAAAAGACAAAAGGACCTTATAAAGCCAAGGCCTCAACTTTTCATGAAGCATTACCATGTGTACACATAAACCTATACAGCAGGACCCACGAGTCTCTAAATATTCAGTACTGTCTGAGGAGACCTCATAGGGTTTATGCCCTACTTTAACTTTTCCAAACTTTGCCATCAAGAAGCTTAATCCAAAGGCAGAACAATTCAATCAAGTTGTGAGACCAAGCCTGACTCCCATGGGACATCAAGTTGCCACTATACTCTGGGGAGACCATTTTACAGGTCAAAGGGATTTTGAGTCTTAATTTAGTGCTTCTACTTGCAAGTATAAAGCTAATAGGAGAGCCTGGCATGATACCACATACCTGTATGCAGAACCCAGAAGGCAAAAACAAAAGGATCATGCATTTGAAACCAGCTTGGGATACATAGAAGTTAATGAAACTAGTCAAAAGTAGCAAAACCACCAGCTGGAGATCCAGTCCTTAAAGGGTCTAGGTCACTGGACCATTCATCCAGGTAAAGTGCTTACCCTGGATACCTGGACAACAGAGGTGGGAAAAAATCCTATCTCCAGTATAGGACATAGTTAGCATAGTGCTCTGTGTGTACACACAGTAGTAGTGGTAATGACAGAGATGAAGTGTTTCTGTACTACTTCTTCCTGAACCTTTGTTCTCTTTAAAATTCATTTCTGGAGTACAGGCTACCTGGGTGGGACTATGCTTACAGAGTCACTAATCTCACACAAGAAGGGTAGGATAAGCTTGGCAGAGGTGGTGCAGGCCTTTAATCCCAGCACTTAGAAGGCAGAGGCAGGTGAATCTCTGCTGTGGGATGTCTTTCTGGACACTGTGAATATGTGTTGTTCTCACTGGTTGACAAATAAAGCTGCTTTGGCCTATGGCAAGGCAGGATAGAGTGAGAAATCCAACCAGGGAAACAGGAGAAGGGTGGAGTCTGGAAGACACCAGCCAGCCACCCAAGAAGCAAAATGCCAGCAGACCAGTAATACCATGGCCACATGGCAATACATAGATTAATAGAAATGGGTTAAATGTATGAGTTAGCTAGTATTAAGCCTGAGCCATCGGCCAAACATTTATAATCAAGGTAAACCTCTGAGTGATTATTTTAAAATCAGCTGAGGGACCAGGTAGGGCAAAAAAGCCTCTGTTTACAAATCTCTGAGTTGAGGTCAGCCTGGCGTACAGAGCAAATTCCAAGACAGCCAAGGCTACACAGACCCAGTCTTTAAAAAAAAAAAAAAAAAAAAAAAAAAAGCAGGCAGGATCCCCAGGCTCTTCTCAATCACTACTGGCACTACTGGCAGCTGGTACTGAACCCAACTCATCCATGGAGCCAAAAACAGACCTAAAAATGCTGAGCACTAATATAGGTAAAGGGAAGATAAGTGCATCCAGCAGACAGACTCTCCTGTGGCCATGGGATCCTGAGGAGAGAAAACTGGTACACTGAGAACTGTACTGTCCCTGTGCTCCCAGACATGTTAATGATGACCACTGGAGATTGCTGTACTTTAAAGGCCAGAGCATTTAGTTCCAATGTAAAAAAACAAAACAAAACTCGATTTTCAAGTGTCCATGTTAATAGCAGAGTGGAACTGTACTCTAAGTACACAGTCAAATTATCTTAAGGAGACTGAGAGCAAACAGTCTACAATGGCCTGAGCTCTCCAGGATGTTCTAGTCACTGGAGGCACCACCTAACCTGCAGGATTACAGACAAATCAGCTTCCCTGGACCTGAGACTCCCTTTTCCCTTTTACAGATGGAGATACTGAAGATCTCAGAGGTTAAGCACATGCCCTAAGTCGCTCTACTTCCTCTGGTTTCAGAACGGCACTAAAATTTCATTTCTCTAAACAAGAAAGAGGATGTCAGTTCTGCCCAAATATGACCCACAAATTCTAGAAACATACCCTGTCAAGCCCCCAACAACTGGCAGGACACCTAAGGTACTGTAGGAAGTAACTGCTATCTTCATCTTAAAGCCAGAGCAGTGCCTATCTTCCAAGTGCTTACTAACTACTCAGTGCAGAAGCTCCTGGCTCTGTTCCAGATACCCAGAAAAAAGAATCCTGTTTCTAGAAACTCTCTTAGGGAAGGACAGATCAGGCCTAGAATCAGGAAGCAATAGCAAAGGCTAGTCCTTCATCTTAGCATTATCTCTGGAGAACAAAGCAGGAGGCCTCTCCCTGACAGACCTGAAGAGCCTTGGAAATAATCCCTCCACCCTCCACAGCCAGGCTACCACCTCCATGAACATACTCCCCACTCCCCAGAATCCAAACCAAATGCAAATGAACCCCAGACAATGTCGTGGTGAACAGGAAGTGGCCACAAAAACATTCAGGACCATTTATCAAACTGTGGCAGGGGAGTTCAGCAGAGCTATCCTAAATAAGTAATGCAAATAGCCAAAACTCAATGTGCCTTTCATTAAAGAACTATTTTCTGGGCTGAAAGAAAAACAGCATGGATTCCTATTATACAAATCAAGACAGGTGCTAACTTTCTGCTCTGTTTGGATTATAGAGACTGGTTCTGAGCCTTCAATGGGCAGTTGACCTGCATGCAGAAAACAAGATCTGGCAGAGTAAACACATCAGGCTTGCAAGATCCCCTGATTAGAGGAACCAGAGAACAGTCACACTGGCTAATACAGGAACAAACACAGGAAGCAAACAAGGAGAACCTATGTTCAACTCAATAGCCCATAGCTTTATCAGCCTATGAGACTTAGCTTATATACTCTATCTCTACGCAAACACACAGTGAAAAAGAAGAGCAAAAAGCTATTGCTGAAAATACTCAGACTCCAGAAACAGACCCAACTAAGGAGTCAAACCTGAGTGCTCATGCCAAATACACCACCTGCAGTTTTCTGAGCAAGACCCCTCTGACCAGCTTCTGTTCTGAAGCCAAGACCAAAAGCAGCACTTATGACAAGATCTGGTACAGGGAACAACAGCACTACTTTTAAGAATTACAGTAACAAGCAAAACTGCCAATAAATGCTGTATCTTCTTTGAGATGACTCAAAGAAGAGGACTCCTGTAAAGTGGTTGTCAAACCTCCTGTAACTCCAGCTCCAGGGGATCTGATGCCCTTTTCTAGTCTCTGGGACTCCTGCATACATTTTTTTTTGCGGGGGAGAGAGGTGTCTGAGTCAGGGCTTCTCTGTGTAGCCCTGGCTGTCCTGGAACTACCTCTGTAGACCAGACCAAGCTGGCCTCAAACTCAGAGATCCACCTGCCTCTGCCTCCTGAGTGCTAGGATTAATGGCATGTGCCACCACTGCCTGGCAATCTTTAAAATCTTAAAACAACAAAACCCCAAAACTGTATTTTAGATGACCATGGATGGATAACATGTATTATTGCCTTATAGGTGTTGTGAGATACAATCCGTGCAGGAAGAAATCCAATGACCATGTACTCAGGTGTGACCATCAGTGATCTCAGACTTACACCAAGGAATATACTACCCTGTAGACACACTTTAGATCATGTTAAAGGGCCTGGCTGTGTACACTTCTTCCTACAGCCATCTTATCTAGCCTCCAAAGCCACAGAAGCAAGCTGGAATCCAAGCTGTCCCTGTATTATGAATAACGAAAACTGGATGACAGTGACTCACACACTATAGAACGGCAGGAATGTGGCCTCCAATCAGTGTGAGAACTCCCCTACCAGAGTCCCTTCCTTAAAGAAGGTTCAAGGGCAGAGACAGCCAGCCCACAAAAAGGGCTAGACAAATCACCAGCTTCTTAACTACTCTCATGAAAAGCCTGAGCAAAGGAGGAGCAAAGCTACTCTCCAAGAGAACAAAACATCAGAAAGCAAGAAAAATACCTTCAAGGCACAGTCTGAGGGTTACCGCCCAGGGAGGCTTACCTTTCCGAAGAACACGCTTCTTTGCTCGAATGTCTGTTTCTAGCTCTGCTGCTCTAATGTAAATCCTAACAGACTGTGGGAGATGACGGACAGCTTGTGCCACCACAGCCTTGGCTGTGTCCCCAGGCTGTAACCTGGCTGCTTCTAGCCAGACATCTTCACTCTGGGACAAAAAAAAAGCAGTAAGAACAGCCTGGAAACCATAAGGAAGACATAGGTTACTCTGGGGCCCCCAAATTTTGTAAGGATCATCAACGTGGCCATAAATACATACTTATGAGAGTTCACCCGGTAATTACACAGCTCAGAAATGTGGCTACCATGTCAGGATGAAAGACAAACATAATCCTTCACAAACAAAAACAAACAAACAAAAATACAATTTACAGTAGGCAAAGTCTTTGGAAAAAGCAAAGACCCTATGTCTGCCTGGGAAGTTCTGATTTATGCATAACGTTCGGAGAATTCCACAAAGGGTTTCTTTCACTCTCAGGAATATCTAGTCCATACAGTAGAGCATTTGACGTTTACTTGGTTTCATAGTACTTTTTAATCTTGTCTAATCATCCCACCTCCCAAAACACAAGTGCTGGAATATATTAAGAGCTAGCACTAACCTGTAAGTTTTTTTTTCCAATTTACTTATTTTTATTTCATGTATATAGGTGTTTTGCCTGCATTCATATCTAGAATAGGGCATCAGATCCCCTGGAACTAGAGTTATAGACAGTTGTGAGCTGCCATGTAGCTGCTGGAAATCAAACTCAGGTCTTCTAGAAAAGCAGCCAGTGCTTTCAACTGCTGAGGCATCTCCTGCTTCAACCTCTAGGTTTCTTTTATTATGTGATGTAACAAGCTGCTCAGTTTATCACTTTCAGTGAAGCTTACCCTGCCATTACAATGGTGGGTCAGTCTCTGTTCCATATAAAAACAAGCAAGAAACTCCTTTCCCTCTATTTACAACCTTGCTCTTGCTCCATTTCTCCAGTATACCACGCCTGGCAGAACACAAAGGATTTTCTGGAAGCCAGAAATCATGTAGCTGTTAAGAGAAATATGCTATAGGCTTCACCTTGGGGCACATCTCTGTCCCCTTCATAATAAGATTCCGAGCCACTTGTAGCTTTCCAGTGACTTCTTCCAGGCGAGCTGATGCAATCCAAGCTGGTGGGTGATGAGGGTTTGTTTCTCTAACAGATTTGAGAAGTAGCCGTGCCTTCTTAATGTCACTGTAACAATGAGAAGGCACAAAAAAATTAGGCCACACTACTAGAGATGTGACAAGAACCAGGGAGAAGGCACCCCCTTCAGACACAAGGCATAAATTGCTAAGAATCAGGAAACATGAGACAATTAACAAGCAGCTTTCTAAGCTCATCACAGGCACTGACCTTAAGATATTATTTGTAAAATATTTAACACACACACACAGCAAATGAGTAAAAATATATTCCTATAATTCTCAGAAAGTCCATGTCATATTTTGACTGCGTATTTCTTTTTTTTAAATTCCACAACATACTAAGCAATTAGAGCTCCCATTTCAACAGACCAATTCTGCAACATACTCACTTTATGTCCCCTCCGTGGGTTGGGATCATAGAATTTAGATCTGTCAGATAGCCTTTGGGGTCCACAACAGTTTGCCCACTCACTGAGTCAGACACCTGTGAGATAGGTAAAAGTGAACATCAGCTAGACATGACCATCAGTGTCTACAACAAAGAATTAATTAACAAGGACCCTGGAGACCTTCCTAACAAATGTGTCCAAGAATAAGCAGCCAGGAGGAAAACAATCTTATTGTAACTCAGACAACGGTCGGTGGTTAGGAAAATGTCTTCTATGGGGAAAGTGTAGAAATCTTCTACAAGGATTAATATTTGGGGGGAGGTATAGGATTGAAGAAGAATGGCTTCCATAGACTCATGTGTGAATAGCTGGTCCCCAGTGGGTGAAACTATTTGGAGAGAATTAGGGGGTATGGTTTTGTTGGCAGGCCACTGGAGGTGGGCTTTGAGGTTTCAAAAGACTTGTGCCAATAAGACAATGGTGGCATATGCCTTTAATTCCAGCACTTGGGAAGCAGAGGCAAGCAGAGTTCGAGGTCAGCCTGGTCTACAGAGCAAGTTCCAGGACAGCCAAAGCTACATAACAGAGGAAACCATCTTGAAAAACAAAAAAACAAAAAAGACTTGTACCATTCTCAGTGTGCCTCTCTCTCTGGCATGTGGTTGTGGATCAAGAATTTGAGCTCTAAGCTGTTCCTTCACTCCACCATCATGGACACTTAACACTCTTTTTTGAGACAGGGTTTCTCTGTGGCTTTGGAGGCTGTCCTGGAACTAGTCCAAGCTGGTCTCGAACTCACAGAGATCCACCTGCCTCTGCCTCCTGAGTGCTGGGACTAAAGGCATGCGCCACCACCGCCTGGCTGCTCTTAACACTCTTGATATGGAATAGTTACTTTAACTATGTAAAGATGTGTTACATTTATTTATGTTGTGGAACATTACTTTAAGTAGGCAAAGATGTATTACTTTTGTTATGGTGTATTTGTTTAATTATGTAAAGATGTGTTGCTGTTTCACCTTGCCTGCCTAAGGCTCCTGATTGGTCTAATAAAAAGCTGAACAGCCAATAACCAGACAGAAGAGGGACAGGCAGTGCTGTCAGGCAGAGAGAATATGTAGGAGGAGAAATCTAAGCTCAAGAGGAGGAGAGAACAAGGGAGAAAGAGAGGGGAATGCCCAGGTCCAGAAGTCAGGCAGCTGCCAGACAGACAGACAAAGAGGAAACAGGAAAGTAAGATATACAGAATGAAAGGTAAAATGTAGATAAAGAGAAACAGATAAAAACAGAGCTAAAATAAAGCCAAGCAATCATAAAAACCAGTCTTCACATCATGATTTGGGAGCTGGTTGATGGCCCAAAAGAAAGCATATTACACACTCTGAAATCACAAGCCAAATTAAATGCTTTCTTTTATAGGTTGCCAGGGTCATGGCGTTTTATAACACCAATAGAAAAGTAACGAAGACGCAAAGAGATCCCAAAAGTCCCAGGAAAAAAACTCAAGTAGACATATATAATAAAAATGTCTTTCCAGCCAGGTGTTGGTGGCATACACCTTTAATCCCAGCACTCAGGAGACAGAGGCAGGCAGATCTGAGGTCGAGGCCAGACTGGTCTACAGAGTGAGTTCCAGGACAGGCTCCAAAGCAATACAGAGAAACCCTGTCTCGAAAAACAAAAAGAAAAAGAAAACAAAACAAAAAAAAAAAATGTCTTTCCAATGTTATGAAATAATCGTTTTATACACTGAGAAGATGTGTCTTTGCTAAAGCACCTTCTGATTGGTTTAATAAAGAACGGAATGGCCAATAGCTAAGCAGGAAAACATGTTAGGAGGGACTTCTGGGGACATAGAGGTCTCGGGAGAAGAAGAAAGGCAGAGTCACCAGCCAGACACAAAAGAAGCAGGATGGGCAGTACAGAGTAAAGGTAACTGAGCCACATAAAAGAATGTAGATTAAAGATATGGGTTACTTTAAGTTATAAGAACTAGTTTGGAGCCGGGCGTTGGTGGCGCACGCCTTTAATCACAGCACTCGGGAGGCAGAGGCAGAGGCAGAGGCAGGGGGGTCTCTGTGAGGTTGGGACCAGCCTGGTCTACAAGAGCTAGTTCCAGGACAGCCTCCAAAGCCACAGAGAAACCCTGTCTTGAAAATGCAAAAAAAAAAAAAAAAAAAGGAACTAGTTTGGAACAAGTCTAAGCCGAGGCTGAGCTTTCATAATTAGTAAGTCTCCATCTTGTTTTTTTCCTGAGCTGGTAGCCCAAAGTAAAATCCATCTTCATCCCAGACTGACCTAAACCCAGAAATTCATAAAGTAAAAGGTTGGTAATTTCAATTATTTTTTAAAATTTCAATACAGCAGTTCATTCTACTATTATAATTGTGAATTTTTAAACTGCCATGATGAGCCAGGTCTGATAGCACAAGCTTGTAATCCCAGCTACTTAGAAGGCTGAGGCAGAAAGAACCAAAATTCAAGGCCTACCTAGCTATAGAGTGAATTCACAACTTACTGATTATCAATTCCAAAATTAAAAACTAAAAAGTAGCCAGGTGTAGTGGCTCATGCCTTTAATGCCAGTATTCTATAGGCAGAGGAAGGCAGATCTCTGACCCTGGACTTCAAAGTGAGTTATAGGACAGCCAGGGCAACCCTGTCTAAAAACAACAATAACAACAAAAACCACAACCTAAAAACAGCCATCATGGTCACATACCTTTAATACCAGCACTCAGGAGGTAGAAGCAGGCTGAGTACTGTTGTAGCATATGTTGATTGCATTTTGATGCTCCCAAGACTGCCGATAAAGTTTGCTTTGAATCAGAGGGCAGAGCTAGCTACTAGGTGACCAAACTTAGCCATAGAGGTTTTGGAAGACTGAGGACAAGTAGAGAGACACAGGAATAGTAGGGTGGGGCTTAGAGAGTCTTGGACTTTTTGGGTCAAGGAGCAAGAGAGGGCACTGGTTGCTTCTCAGCTGCTTCTCTGATCATTCAGGTTCTTACCTCAATATATGACTCCTGAGATTTTTTGTTTTGTTTTGTTTTTCAAGACAGGGTTTCTCTGTGGCTTTGGAGGCTGTCCTGGAACTCAATCTATTGACCAGGCTGGCCTTGAACTCACAGAGATCCACCTGCCTCTGCCTCCAGAATGCTGGGATTAAAAGCGTGCGCTACCACCGCCTAGCTGACTCCTGAGTTTTTAATAATTAAGAACAATTAGATAAATGCTTCAGAGCGTTGGTTTACATATCCAATAAGTTATCCAAGTAGTAAGACCCTGACTCAAAAAAAAAGTAAAAAAAGCCTGCAGATTTTGTGAGATGGCTCATAGTAAGCATGAGGGCCTGAATCAAAATCCCGAGCACTCATGTAAAAACAAAACATGCATGGTCATGTGTACCTGTAACTCAGCATTGGCAGGGATCTTGTGAGTTCACAGGTCAACCAGTCTACCCAAAACAGAGTGTCGGGTTCAACTGAGAGACTTCTTCAGGTATTAAGTGACAGAGCAGGACAACTAACACCTTCCTCTAGCTCTACCAGTATGTGGCACATGTAAACACACACACATGCATGCACGCACACACGAACAAAGTCAAAGTCAAGTAGATCGGGGTACAATATTTGCCCAGCTAATATATGTATGTATGTATGTATGTATATATATAAAATTTATATTTTTATTGTTGCTTGTCATAGGTTTTGTTTTGTTTTCTTTCAGCAGGGCCATGCTCACACATATATATATATATAT